CTGGGAATTTGTGCTCTCTGGTAGATCGGTGGCGTGCTCCGGCCTGGGCGGAATAATGGCGCTTCCCCGCGCTCCGCCAGGGGCTCTGCCCGCCAGGGCGTCCTGGGTGAAAGAAATTTCAGGTCACAGTCGCAGCGGCTGGGGAACAAAAGATGATCTGGTGGCTAAGCTTTTGGTTTTGCTTCTAGAAAAAAATCCAGCTTTTAATGTAAGCTGTTTACGAGGAGAAATATCCAAAACCACAATGACTGTGGCCCGTTCTGCTTAAGGCATTTAGAAAGAATAACTGTGGGTTGTCTTGTGATGGCACTATTATGTCGTCTCTGTAACTAATAATTTTATAGTTTCCTAGGTGGGATTTGGCTTCATAGGTGACTATATACTGTTAGCAGTTTCCCTGTGTTGGCTGTGACTTTAAGAAGCCGTTTGTTTTTTAGTCTTGTCATTGCTGTGTGGACTCAGTTGCAATCTGCACAGCTATTTCTGATAGGGAACAGTTACGAAACACAAGTAATGCTTTGAAGGATGCTAAAAGAAAAAGCTTAATCTGCCTCAGCTGTCAAGTTTTTGTTTAATAATTTACAGTTTGTAATATGAGTTAGTCATACAAGTAGGCGAGCTTTGGGGTTAATATAGAATGATACCTTCTCAATAGGTGCAGTAATCAGAACCAGCTTTTATGGCAGGTCTGCAATCTGCTCTTGAATGCGTGTGTTCTGCAGCTCGACTGCAGAATGTTCGTGTTAGGTAGACTACGGAAAGGATACTGTTCCTGTTCAAAGCCTATAAAAAAATCCCTGGCCTATGCAGCGCTCCTAGAATAGCTCTGTAATAAGAGCGTAGTAGAACATGTGGTAGCAAGTTTATTGTGATGCCTTCTAGTGTGTTCTGATGAAGTCAGGCAACTGGGGCTGATTTTGCCGAGTTTTAGACTTGAGTCTTGAAAAATTACTCTTTATTTGAGAGACAGGAGTCCCTTTACTGGTCTGCTATTTAGTTTTAGTCTGATAAGGTGCTCAAGACAAATTAATAACATCAATAAAATAAACCTTGGTTTTCTGTGTGCTTGTGTCCTGTTAGGATGCTGTGATATCAGTGCTATTATGGCATTGCAATATTAACCTGCACTAAAATTGTTTGTCTGAGTAGGCAAAATTGAACAGTGACTCGGTTAATGCTTAACTCTGAAATACTTGCATAAACCCATTTTGCAGTGCTTACTCATAGGTATACTTGAAAAAGACAAAAGCCCCTAAATGAACTTTGAGGCAGTGTTTTCATGATCAGACCTCTTTTCTAAGCTTTTTAACATGCTGCAAGAAGCTCGTGCATGTGTTAGGTGAGAAGAAGCAAGAGAGTGATGTAAATTGAAAACTTGCCAAAGACCAGTGTTTCCTGTTCTCAGTGTGAAAACTCAGGACAGTGGCAGGGGGAAGTTCAGCAACAAAGAAACTGTAGACATTGGAGAACACATGCTTGTTTGACTGACTCTTTTTGCCTTAAAAGCCTATGTTTTTCAGGAAGCTGTTCGAGGCGGTGTAGTCTGTTTCTAGACTGGCTTTTGCCACATCAGTTTGCTGTAGAGTTGTGCTGTTGTCATGTTTTTCACATTTTGTGTGATGTCTTTTTCTAAAGCAGATGAGCTCTTCATACCAGAGTTCGAAAAGGCTGATGACTCTTTTTAGCCATGCAGTTGAGTTGTCCAACAGATTTGGAACTTTACGCTGCTAGTACCTTGGTAAAGATTAAAAGCAAAAGCTATCTTTAAACGAGTTAGGTAACTACTGCCTTCCTGATAGATCCTTTTAATGAAGTAAGCAGACTTCATTAGCTGTGTCAAATTCCTGTAGAGAACTAAAATTATAACTTCTGCGTGGTTGTCACTATGAAGAAGAGCGTGGTATATCTTGATTTCTGCCCCCTCCCAATCATTTATTAGTCACTTGGTTGTTGCTTCTGTAACTCAAGGGAGAACGTTGTAAATGTATGAGTGGCCTTGCTGGCTTGGCTTAAAGCCTTTGTGGCTCAAAATGCATCTCCAAGAGTGCTTGATACCATCTAGTCCACAGAAGACTATAAAGTCAAGACATGCATGGAGTAATCTTCCCTGGAAAACTATCCCAAGTCTGAGCGGTCCGTGGTTTAAAAGCCTTCTGAGCTGCAAATGAAAACATAGAATTGCTTTCTGAAGCCATCTAAATTCTTGGCAGCGCCTGCGTCCTTTGGCAAGGAGTTCTGCAGCTTAACTATATTTTGTGTGAAGAACTGTTGTCTTAAGTATTTTTCGAACCTGCTATCAGCTGATTTTGTTTGACAGCCCAGGTCTTTGTCTCGAAATTCTTTGATTTGTTATACATAGTTTTTTGAGTCTTAGTTGTTCTTCATCATCAAGAGTAACCATAGTCTGAATCCTTTTCAGCTGGATTGATGCATAGCACAGTATTTTGTGTTTTGATTGCCTACTGTGTGATGATTTGTCAGCCCTGTGAGTTTGCATAAATGTCTCCTCTGATGCACCATGAATACCTACTTATGTAAGCTATTTATTGTTGGCCCTCTGTTCTTAAAAAATTCCTTCTTTTAGTTAGTCTTGGCAAAACATGCCCCCTAAAATGCTTTGTCTGTTGGCTCAACAGTGAGTACCCAGTGATTCAGCATTAGACGTTGAAAGTGTTTAGCTGAAAGGATTGCTTTTGAGAAAACCCGGTCAGTGTCAGCATGATAATAAAGCACAATAGGAAGAACAGCAGCTGAAGAATGATCTTTATAACATGTGAAAACTGTGGTCTTGGCTAATATGATATTATATAGTGAGAAATAGTACAGTTCTGTGTTCAGTAGTGTGCGGGAAACTTTGCCCTTTATATTTATTTGTATTTTGCATTGTATTGCCCAGCTGTGCTTTCATCTAATAAAAAGTGTTGGTTTCTCTCCTCATAGAAGTTTCTCTTAAACTGTTAGGAGAATTTCTGTCTTTCCTTGGTAGAACTGTTAATTCAGATTCCCACTCTTAACGGTGGATCGCTCGGCTCGCGCGTTGACGAAGAACGCAGCTAGCTGCGAGAATGAATGTGAATTGCAGGTCACATTGATCATCGACACTTCAAACACAGCTGCGGCTGTCTTTGCAATGTCTCGTCCTAATGGGGCAACTAGACAATATTGTATTCTAAATCTGTTGTTACAACCTTTGTTTCTGAGGTTTCTTACCGGAAAGATGTTGAATATTATAGAACTTCGAGCTTTTATAAGAGATACAGGAAAGCACTGGGGTAGGCTGGTGTGGCGGCTCTGGTTCTTTGACAGCTCTGGCTTGAGTAGCTCCCAGCTGCTTGTGTTCCTCTGTCCTCCCCAGGGATGTTGCTGTGCTAACATACCTGTTTGTGCAGCTGCTTGGTGATCCAGACTGTGGAAACTGATCCAAATGAAGCACAGGCCAAGGAGAGGGGAAAAAAACCCAAACAGTTATTTTTCTGTTGAATGGATTTCTGTAACCCATTCATGTGGAGTATACGCATTCATGCTGACTGATGCAATGCAAAAGATGATGACATGGATGGAAAAGAGTGTGAAGGGGCTACCTAAGCAGCTCTAAGTGGATATGAAACCTTAGTCACAGAGAAATGTGAGACGCTCCTGATTTCAGTAGCAGTGTTTTCAAACGATTATTTTGAGCACCCGTATTTTACCGTATACTCATAAAATAGGCATTTTATTTTCACAAATACACTATTCAACTGTCTTCATCTTTGTGATTTTAGGATAATTATAGACATGTTTAGAGAAATACAGTATTGTTGCTGTCATTGTGATAGTAGGCATGTTTTTGAGATTGAGCTACTTTAAGACAGTTTCACAGTGAATATCAACACATTACAGATAGAGCAGTCCTACAGACTAGATTGTAGCAATGCAGGTGCTAGTCTGTCTGTTCAACTTCATGATCAAACAGGGGCAGTTGAAAAAAAAGTCCTGTGGCTCTTGCCCAGCTTTCAACATTTGTTCTTGGTGGAACCCTTGTTTTGACCAAAAAGTGTTTTTTGTTCGGGCAATTTTTTTTTTTTAATTGAATAAATTATTTTCAGTATAGACTACTTTTATGTGAAAAAGAAATGCATTGATTAGATTCAAACATCTCCAGGAAGGGTATCTAAGATGGGGAGCCAGGCTGAACTCCTACAGTTGCTGTCAGTATTCGAGAGAGAATGTGTGAAAATGTCTATTCAAATAATTGATGTGTTCACTTCTAGCAGCAATCGGCATGTTGGTGAATTACCTGCAAAGGTATTCTGCATAAATATTTCATTATTGTGTATTTAATTTACAGTATTACTGATTGTCTTTCAGGAAATGGAGGATAAGGTGATCAGCCCAGAAAAAGTTGAAGAAGCAAAATTGAAAGCAAGATACCCTCATCTGGGCCAGAAGCCAGGAGGCTCAGACTTCTTGAGGAAGAGGCTTCAAAAAGGAGTGAGTTCTTTGTTAAAGAATATTGTATGGATAAGTAACTCCAAAATTCCTGTATCTGATTTTTTTCCACTCCAGAGGCCTTTGCATGATTAAAAGAGTGCCAAGAAATTTAAACTTTGTGAAAGCATAAGGAAGAGAAATTTGTTTCCACAAAGCAAATGCCCAATTGACAGAATAGCTGTTTACAGCTCAACTGCACTTTTTAGAAAAAAATAAACGTAGAAGCTGGCTCAGTGCCGCGGTGATACACTTCATAAAAAAACATTATAAGTAAACATGAAGGGCCAGAACCTCATCTCTGTTTCGTACTGATCTTTTCTTGCCCATTCTTATGTCCCCAAAATGCATGTCTGCTTTTACTATCCATGTTTTTAGCACATGAAAGCTTAGTGTCTGCTGCATTACACCAGGCACATCTGACATCAGTGGCTTGAGAATGGCAGTGTAGTTCTCAATATACACCCTAACCAAAAAATAATGATAGAATAATGAAGAATTAGTATTTCAGTATTGTTTCACATTTAGCTAGTGTCTCTTATTTTCTTAGTTATTCAACTGTTTATTTCTTTTTTAGTTTAATTATTCATAAAAGTGATTATGTAATGCCTTTCAGGCATGCTAGAACTCTGTTCTCGGAATAATCCTAGTATAGCACTACTTCTGAAGGTGCTTTCATTGCTGTCACACTGTTAGTTTTGTGGCTTTTGCTGTTTGTTTTTGGTTGGTGTTTTTTTTTTTTGTACTATTGTCTAGGCCCTTTGAATGCACGCAGTGATTCCAAGTATAAATCCTTTGCAAACCAACTGTTGGAGTTCAGTGCTGATTTATTTCTGTGCTATCTGGTAACATCTCCTGGGAATTGTTACTGTTGGCAGGTTTTTTGGATGAGCTTTCTCTGATGAGTTGGAGCATATGCAGCATAGTTAATGGCTACTGGGAACGGGCAAGTGGTAGAAAGGTGACTCCCTTTGTGAGTTACGCTGTTATGTGGTCAAAGGCAGCCTAAATGACATTTCAGTGGGTTCAGTGTAGACACAGAAGGGAGAAGATACGTACGTGTTGTGATGATAATTCAGGAAAACAGACCAGCATCCACTCCCTAAGGATTGATGGCCATAAAGGAATTATGACTGCTTGCACTCAGCGCAAATGTGAGGAAAGTTCTCCACCAACAATAACAATCTGTACAGTACTTTCATCTTCATTATAGCACTAATTAATGCAAAAATTGTTGCAGCCTATATTTCCAAATTTGAGCAGAGAGAGACCAGTGGGGGCATCTTGATTGACTAAGTGTTTGGGATTTTGTTACTTTGAAAGATGGCATAAAGTTGTGGATTCCAATTCATGATCTGTCTTCTTCAGCTCTCCACTCCTGATGTGGTGGTAATAACTTTCTTCCATTTTATTTTTTATTATTTTACTTTAGAGGATTGCTGAAGTTTAAAATAGAGTGAGGATAGTGAGTATGCTTTCAGATAGTGTTCGTGACATGAAGATTCCTGGACAGACATAGTCAGTTTGAAAGAGGTGATCAAATACAGACCATCTATGAGAAGCTAGAGTAAATCGGAGGAAAATACAGGAATAAGTTAAAGGAAGAAATGGACAGATATTCTTAATACATGAAAGATGGTAGGTTTTCTCAGATGTTCTTCTGAATGTACGTAGTCAACTGTAGCCCAGATTTTCTTCGATTTGGCAATTAGGACGTGCTCTGCCCATTGATATTTGTGCTCCGGAAATGTTCTGCATTGGGCGCACATGTTGTTATTAGCACACTTTCTCCACAATAAGGGTTGATGAGAACAATGCTGCAGCATGCTGCTGTAGAGGGATTCTGTTTGGAGCTCTTACGTGGACAGAAACAGATACCTGTTAACAGCAGTAGCACACTGAAAGATCGAGCAATTCTGTTATTACCTAGATGCTATTTAAAAGTTTATTTTGGTTGCTTTAGTCTTGAAGGGCAAAATATGAAAGCCTTTTTCCAAATCAGATCATCAGAGGTCTAGTCTGCAGATGCAGTGCTAGAACATTGTGGTGTAAACAGGGATTACGCTGCCAAAAGGACTGAATTGGGAAGGTTTACAAATGAAAGCGTGTGGTTCAGATGTTCTACTAACTGCATGGGGAAAACGGATTTGGTAACTTCAAGGTTCTGGCAGGGAACGTTTAAAGCCTTCTTCAGGAGGCCTTGCATAAACAACTTCACCCCTGCCCTTAGGTAAAGGCCTGTTAAATCAAATGTTCAGATTACTTCTCTCTAGCAAGTGCTGCTTCTGAACGCCTTGCAGCTGGTTAGTACTACTGCAAAATAAAGAGTATGGCAGTAATATGCTCCTGGAAGCACTTCAGCATAGCAGGTAGGGATGGCTGTTGTTCAACTGACTGAGGAATAAGCCTATATAAAGCTAACAAGGGAGTGTTCTCTTCAGAGATAATTATGATTGTAAGTAGCAGCTGCTAGTGTGAATCTTTTTACTGAATCTAATTTTTTTGACTGATAGGACAATGTGTTCAAAATCATGGGTTATAAGCACCTGAACAGTAGACTGCATAGTAAGATGTAAACAAAATACAACTTTTCCTGCAAAATATGTCAATGAGTGGTGGAAGACTTGATGCAGACCTTGGATGAAATTCCATGCTTCATCTTACTATAATGCAGATAAATTATGACAGTCATTTGGCTTTAACATCCACAGATAACTTAATATTTTGAGAAGTCTGACAACCAAAAAGACTGTTAAAGGTAATGCTAGTGAAAATTTAAAGAAATATTAAGGAACGCTGTCTTGGAAATTCAAACATGCTGTAATCACTTTGTATTCAGAAGAAACCTGGAGTGTGGAATAAGAATTTCCTTCACACAGTGCTTTTCAGAAAGACTGCATGGTAGATTTGACTTCACTAAATAATTGTTTGGGAACTTCAGGTATTTTAGTTTCACTGTTTTAATGTATGCAGATAACAGATTTTCTTGTTAGCATGCTGCTTCATGCTGCTTTGATCTTCTAGTATGATAGAGCAGGATCTGTTATCCAGCTTTATTTCATACATTGTTTAGCTATTCTGTGTAGCAGAACTTGTTCACTGCAACAAAATTTACAAACTCCAAGTTTTCACTTGTATCCCCAAGTTTTCACTTGTTGGAGATCAGAGCTCTTGGGAAAACCAGGGCAAAAATAATGTTCACATATGGTGTGAGTTTAATGGTATATGTAGAACCTTAACTCTCAACAACGGGCAAGTACACAGTTTACATATATGTGCTTAATAGTCTTGGTAAGATTTTGGTTTTGAATCGACATAGAGCTATCTTGCCAAATCAGAAAGATTTTGTAACTGGTTTTAAAATGCAAAGAATCTATTTAACCATGTAATTCAGCATATGCATCTGATAAGATTCAGACTTTTAAATATATGTGTTTTGTCTTCTAGCAAAAATACTTTGATTCTGGTGATTACAACATGGCTAAAGCAAAGATGAAGAATAAGCAACTGCCGACTGCAGCTCCTGACAAGACAGAAGTCACTGGTGACCATATTCCTACTCCACAGGATCTGCCACAGCGGAAACCATCTCTTGTTGCTAGCAAGCTTGCTGGCTGACGAGAACAGCTGAACTGCATGATTATTCTCATTCCTGTTATTTCTCCTTAATAGTTTTTTCTCACCCTCACATCCCCCTTTTTCTTTCTTACACTAAGTCATGAGACTGACAGCTTTGCAGGTAGCGATAGCATGTGCTGCTATTGTAAGGGAGTACTGTTAAGAGTAAAACGTGTAGTATTTGAACTAGTTGAGAACAATGCACTGATTAAAAAGGACAAGTTTGGTTAGAGCAATGTAATCTACTTGAAAATGTACATATTGCCCATTTCCTAGTGTAGGACTGGTTCCAGCAAGTGGCATTGCAAGTTTTACAACTTCTAATGTTTCTGCTTTTGTTATTTCATCTTAATTACAGCATATTTGTATTTAATATAACCTCCAGTTGTGTTGGGTTTTTCTTCTGTGTTTGGGTTTGTTGTCTAAAATAGAGGTTTAGACCACAAGTTGCTAGATGGTAAAGCATGTATAAAAACAAAGACAGGGCTCTGATTGAATTTTGTTTCTGCTTTTGAACTTGAACGGCCTTAAACCTGTTTCAGCTTTAACAATAGAGTTTTTACTTGGGCAATATTTGCCCATTCTTGTGTAACTCTTGTGAATCTAGTGCTTATTGACAACTGCCTGTTGAAGCTGGTATTCTTTTCAGTTCCGTAGCTTAGGACACACTTTTGTTGAAGATGTGAATGAAGTGTGCATGTGCATAGACTGTTGAATTCACTCTTGTGCCATTTTTGTAAATACAGTAGTTTTGCACAACCTTTTGCAGACGTCTATTAGTTTTACATTTTAAAAAGCAGATAATGTGCCAATCAAAGCACAAGTGATTCTGTATCTTTCAAAGTCTTGTCCTGAAGCTAAGAGCCCGCAATCTTGCTACTGAAAGTAAAAATTGTATACCTGAAATTTGTGAAACACTTATATATACACTTGACTCAGCCTTATGCTTTTGCAGTTGTATATTTTGTTTCGCAACAATGTCCAGCACTCAAATACAAATCTGGAATTTGTACCTATATTGGGAGGCAAGTGCCCTTTCTGTTCAGCAGCTCTTGTAAAGCTGAAATGCTCTGTCTGATGACATGGGAGATGGCTAAATGTACTGGAGAGTTTCCCGTGTGGCAAACTCCAAATCTAGGCTTGCTAAGGTTTGATACGCAATTGTCTTTGGGCTATTTTAGACTTCTGGAAGTGGAGGTTTTTGGGTTTCTTTTTTTTTTCTTGGACTCCTGAAATGGTAGTAAACTAACTCCTTTTCTCTTTGTTACACAGCAAGCCCTCTTTGGCTTTGGGGAAACAAAGAACTGTGGAGAAATAGGTGACTTTTCTTGTCAGAAATAGGTAACTTTTCATGTCAGAAAATAGGAATGAACTGCAGTTCACCGTTATGATGCAGGTCGTAAGTACTAGATTGCCAAAATTCATAGTCGATATTGGACAGGTAACTTGATGCATTTAAAAGCATGTTTGTCCAATGAAATCAGAATATTAGAAGTGCGGTATGATCCATAGTGTAATTGATTTTCATATAGGTAATCACAACTTTGATGTTCTTTGGGAGTAGAAGAAACACAGATCAGTTTACTGAGTACATTTTTCTTTACAGAAACAGTTCTGAAACCCTATTAAAAACAAAGCACCAATGTGGGTATTATAAGAGAAAACACTCCTAAAGATGCAAGTTTTTAGAAGGATGTGCTTTGTGTTGACATTTCAGAAAGGTCTTACAGGATAAAGGACTGCTAGTCGAAAAGAACACTGGCCCATATTTTCTGCAATGCTCTCTTCTAAAGGTAAACATAAGAAAATGATCAAGAGAAAATCAATAATCTTAATTTGGTCCTGTTTTGATCAGAACATGAGCAAAGTATATCAGTGTCTGTATAATGTCTTTGGTTCAGAGAAGTCTTTCCAGAGAATTTTGAAATTGCTAACCTGATTCTTTTCAAATCTGTATAGCCCTTTTCTAAGTAATTAAATGGGCTTTGTCAAGCCTTTCCTTATTCCTTATCCTCCACTAGTACAAAGAATTTGTGATTTCTGCAGAACAGGTTGAAAAAACAGACCTAATTGACTTGTTTAAGTAAGAAATTAGGCTGGGAGAATAGCAAAGAAACTGGATATATTGAAGCAAACTGCTTTTTATAGATGTTTGTCCCAATGCGAAAACCCCTCTTTATTTTTGTATGTATAAATGAAATTGAAACTTAACGATAGGACTGGGCCTGAAACAAATTTTGGAACAATTTAAGATGATTTGCTGTGTGTTGTCTGGTGCCACTGTTCTGTAGCTCACATAAGGTGAGCTCTCTTGCATTTGGGAAAGTTTAAGAAAAATAGCCATTTAAATTTAAACATTCCACTCAGCTACAACTCAGCTTGTCCTGCTGGTTGGACAACAC